AGTGCCCACAGCAAAGGTCTGCTTGAGAACCAGTTCAGTAGCAGCAAGTTCTCACACAGAACAGGGATTTCTCCATCAGTCTCTCCCTGAACAGATCAAATGTAAGCTCAATCCAACCCACAGACGCAGGATCAGAAACTGCCAGCTTTTCTAGCCTTAATTCTTAAAAAATAAATATAACTCTGTTCCTTCAACTCCTCTGTTTTGATACAGCATCAGAAAGCTACAATTAAAAGTCTCTAAAGAGTACCATCTTTTACAAATCAATTAAGGTAGCTTAGTTTGTACTCACAGATTCTGTTTTTCCTCTTATTTTATACAGAGATTCTCTTCCTCTTCCCCTCCAGAATGACTATAATTATTCTATAAAAATACAGAGCATATGGAACGCTTTCCTCCAAGCAAGGGAACAGAGCGCCATAAAAGCAATGAACATAAGCAGTTTATTAGAGGTGGTTTCCCTTCCCCATCACCTACTCTGAGCTGCTGTGAAATTCTATTGAAGTCGTACTGTGCAGGGGTACAAAACAGCTATGAAAGGATCTGCTGCATTACGTAGGGTTTACTGTTAATTAGCTCTTGTACACACACGCAGTACATAAAACCAGCTTTTTTTTTTTTTTAGGAAGTGATGATTTGTAGAGAGGACATCCTTTGCTGATATAAAACTAGCATTACGATTGTAATTTGAGTTAACATCTACACATCATTTTATGTAACCACTTGACAACGGTGGTCCTGGCTAATTAGTTTCTGTTAGTTAAAAGGGAAATGCGAATGAAATTTTCTTAGGGCATCAATAGAGAGAGACAACAGCTTACTCAGACCAGTAACATCAAGGTGCTAGTTCTGTCCTACCATATCCACCACATGCTTCTGATCACATCTTTAGATTTGCAGCCCCTCACGCACTGGAAAACAGAAACTTCACTCCTTTGATGATCTCTTCTCTCTTAGCATTAAGCTGAATGAATCATAGGAAGGATGAACATATTTAAAATTGATACTTTAAATAAAACTTTGTCCACAGCTCAGCTTCAATAACCAAGTCAGCCAAATTTTTCTGGTGGACTTGGGAGCAGGGGAACACAGAAGAACCAACCTGTCGTGACTGCCTAGAGCAATTGTCTTTATGGACAGAAGGGTATTATTTTTACAGTTTTTCAATCTTCCTTTTAGGCAATCCCTACCCAAATCTTTGAAGCTGGCATACTCCTTTGGTTCTTTGTTCCAGAGCTCCTAACAAGTATGCTGTTCCACCCAGAGAAACCACTGACTACAATTGTCAGAAGGTATTGAAAGGAGGAGTGTCATTCAAGTAAGTGGTGGGAGAGGAGGACTGCTACCTCCTTTGGGCACCCTGGGAAATTCCAGCCTCTGCTGGTTTTCCATCTTTGCTTTGGAGATTTCTAGGAAAGGCTGATATAGAAGGAGGAACCCAAACAGAAGCCTTAAGTAATGATCTAGTACCTACTCCCCCCACCTCCAAAAGGCAGAGAACAACAGCAAGAGCTACAAACAGCTCAGAGAAGCTGGGACACAAGGCTCTTGTCTCCTCTCTGTTTGCTGGGCTGAGATTAGGAGACAGAAAGGAAGACAAAGAAGCAGAGATGTTAGTTACGTGCCAGCTAAGGACTCCATCTCGCATGGGGAATCCTCTGCTGGCCTGTCCCAGACCCTCTCTATCATCTGAGCAGCCTTAAGAGGTCAGCCAGGAAATCTGCTCAGCAACCTGATGCAGTGAATCACACGAACTACAATCAGACAACACCGTGATAGGGACACTAAGAATTAAACATGGTATAAAATGACAGAATGTGTGTCACAAATGTGAGGGAAGTCTTTCCCTGCCATAAGATTTCCACTACGTTAAATCAAGAGCTATAATGACAATAAACAGGATTTGCAACTAACAACAAGCAGAAGAGTGACTCATTTCTCCCGTGACTTCTAACTCCTTAACTGCCAGGAAGAGTTCAAACTCTAAAGAATACAACAAAAGCCTTTGTGAGGATAAATTGAACACATCAAAAATAAACGTGGGTCCTCGCAGGGAAAAAAAAAAAGACACATGAGATCCAGTCACTTGTCAAATAGTCATTTGAAAAAAAAAAATCTATCAAGTAGTCCAGAGGAAAAGGGCTACAATAGCCTTTATATGTGGCATTGAGATGGAAACAGGAAAAGGGTTTCTTGCACCCTTTTGGACAGAACTCTACTGAAGCTAAAGCTTTTAAAAAAACCAAACATCTATGCAGAAAGACACACAATGCCAAAAGTAAGAATTTTTTCTCCACAAAATGTAAGGGATCAAACACAACTCCCGTTTTTCTGCTTTCACTGGTCATCTGGAAAACAAGCCATGTGAGGCACATCTGATTTATCTTTATTAAACGTGACAGTAAGAATTCCTTTGCTATTCTAGCAGACTCTCACAAAAGCCGTCAAGTCAACAGATCATGGCAAAGCCAATTTGCAAGCTGCAAAACTGGAAAGAAAAGCAACACTGCTATCAAAATGGAAATGGGTGGATGAGAAATAGTCATGGCTTGTGGTTAGAGCCCTGAACAGCAGAGAACCCTGCCCTTCAACTCACTGCTAATTCACATCAATAGAAGAAATTCAAGTACATGGGTAAAACTGATTATTAATTATTTTAAGGTCTGTAAGTCTATGGAGCGCACGTAATTGCTAATGGGATGTGAAGAAGGTTCTACCTAAAGTGAAACACATCCATTGCTGATTTACACCCCTACCACAATAAAAAAAATATCACTTTGCCAGTGCAGTTTTGCCCAGTTTTAGCCCAAAATGAATGATTTTCACCAAAAAAAAGCACAATTTCACTAATGTAATAAATATAAAGGTATGAAATTTCCTTCTTTGGCTTGAAAGTGAAACAATACATACATACTGACATTTGAACACAGTGCAGTAATTTCCCTAAAATAAATTCAGCGAAGTTGAAACAAAATAAAACATCAGATCTAATGGAAACCTGAGGCTCTTCCCCCTCAGACTGAATGGAGCAGGAAATTATTCACTTGAGCGGAGTAAAGCAATTGCTTTAATTTCCACCCCCCTGATAATTTGCTTTACTGCCTTGACAGTAGATTCAAGAAGACAAAACCTATGATTTACACAAAATAAAAAATAAAATAAGCATTGCCTGCTAACACATGGCTTAAGCCTAGCACCCTAACAGACAACACTTTCTTTAGCCTTGTGTCATCGTGTTTGAGATTCCACTCCTTTAATTCCATCTTTAAATACACAGCCCAATTAACACCCACTGTGATTAACAAGATGCCTTCCATCAAATTCAGTGGGTATTTGGCAGAACCTCCAGAGACTTTGCTACTACATAAACATTTTCAATGCAAAGCTAAGTTCTGGAGCTATAACCACTTCAATTAAATAGTGAACAAGGTCTGACTGGCTTTTGGGCTACCAGAGGAAGCTCGAGTGAGCAGCCTGTAACGCTGTATAAGAGAGCTACACTACAGCCTACACGTTGTCTTCCTAGCAAAAAGCCCTTAATGTTCCCTCAAAAAACTGATTAAAAATCCAACTGATGAAATACATGTTATTTTTAAAGCGGTTATTAAAGCAAAGAACATCAGCATGGCCTTGCAGTTTGGTAAGCCCCTTAAACTTATGCAAATATTAATACATTTAATGCATTGTGCTTTGAGTAAAGTTGGCAATGGAGACATTTAAAACTGATTGCTTGTTTTGGGCAACTCATTTGGCTGAGTAACTCTGAAAATGAGCTTCCCGTAGAAGTATCTCCAACTGGATATCCCAGATCAGTAAGATTAAAACAAAATACTGAAATATTGAAAAATTCAGTATTCTGTTGCTTATTCATTGGTCCATAAACTGTTAGAACTGATATTGATTTAATTAAGTATACCATCTGATAGCATTCAGAGTACTATTTTCAAATCTAGACATGTTCTCCCTCAACAGCTATAAAAGGAATATTCACATTAGGTACACAACTAGGAAGGAAAGGCAACCTTAAAAACTTTTTTAAAGATAAGAAAAAAAAAAAACCAAAGTAAAATCCTTAATGAGGTGAAGTTGATTGAAATGATCTATTTTTCATCCAGTCTTAGCACAAGACAGTAATCTCAAAGCCTGGAAGTCATACTAACCAGTTTGAATTTAAAAATAAACAAACTCAATGGCAATGAAGGGCTTTCATGAAAAAGAATGCAGAGCATAACCAGAATGTTTTGGGAGTCTTCCTAAATTAATTTGTTTCAATTGTCATTACTGACAAATAAAATTGCTGCAAGGTTATGATTATTATTTTTTTTAACAGAAAATAAAAAAAATCAAATAATAGCGTGATGTAAATTAAGAAATTCAGTTTTGTTGAAACATTTACTTTTTTTCCAGAAGAGTAATATGGAAGAAAAAGCTTTGTAAAAAGTAGTGATTTGCTTTTAAGCTCTGTCTTAACTGAAAAAAAAAATCCAATGTAACCAGAATTTTCACTATATTTACTTCTAGTAAAATTTCATTGAGAAACACGTATTTCTGAAGAAAATTTCAGAACTGAGTCGTCATTGATTTTTTTTTAAAAAAGGCATTTTCTAATCAGCCTAAATGAATAAGTTGTTTTAGTTGGCTTTCAAATGGGAAAGTGAATTTGGATGTTCAGAGGCATATCTTACTTCAGGACAAATTATATTCTCCCCATAATTTGCATTTCTGAACAAACTGGATAGTAGAACATTCCTATGGTAACCAGGGAAGAACCTTGTGTAGAAAAATGGAGAAGTGGTGGATGTTACCTAGCATGTTGTGGTAAAGTGGACTGTCGTGTCCATGGATAGTAAATGCAGTCATGACTAGCGGGACCTCTACACCTGCAGGCAATTACAGAACAAAAGACGTCATTTGCCATTCACAAGGACATGCACATGCATGCGCCCTTGTCCACACGTGGAGGATGGAAGACACACAGGGAACGACCACTCAGCAAGTACCTATCCATCAGGCCGATGCAGTCCTCGAGACGTGGCCCTATGCACCTGCAGCAAATCCAAATTGAAAATAGGGAGAGAAAAAGAGAAATCTGTTATTTACAGTTCCAAGAAGTAGGAATCCCCTCTTTGTGCCACATTCTTAATTATAATTCTCAACAGAGACCCAAGTCACCACAAAATTATAGCTTGTGACGAAAACAAGCTTGCAACAGGAACAATAATAGCAACATAAACAGCACTCTAAGGTTGGACATATCTTGGCTCAAACAACACTTGAGGCAGGTTTCACCTGCATACGTGGGAGTCCTGACAATAGACTTGCTTTTTCTGGATGTTGTCTGAATCATCAAACCAGTCATTACTGCACAAAAGCTGTTCATTTGCAAGATGAGACCTCCAGGAGCACCACACAAAACTTTATTTCTTTCTGTAACAGATGCAATTGTTCATTCTGTTCTAAGCTCCTAGCTAGGGCAACTGCAGAAGTATTTTGGAAGCTGACTATACTTTCATCAGGGAAGCTCAAGGATAAACTTTCAACAACAAACACCAGAGCAAAAACGGTGTCTGCTGATTCAAGCGTTTTATTCTGCTTTCCTTGGATGCTGCCAAAAGTCCCCCACCTGCAAAATCAGCAGGTGCTCAACAAAGGTGATGGGAATGCAGGGAGCTGCTTTATGCAGCAGCATTAAAGCACAACCGTGGGGAAAGAGTCCATTTCCAAAACACAGATATTCGTGGAGTTTCCTTGCCTTCATGAAGAGCAGTAGGTGAAGTGGTGTCCTAGGTCCTCCGCTTTCAAATAGCAAGTCAAATACACATTTACACAGCAGTGGCAGTCAGGATTCTCAGAGATACGTAAAGTCAAGCTTTCAGGGGTTAAGACAACCTGACACCCTTTGGTGTTGAATGCCTAGCTGCTCCTCTGTAGCCACGGGGAAGTATCTAGCCCTCAGAATTTTAAGGAAACCAAACTGCTTATTTCAACTCCTTAACAAGATCTCGGAACCGTTTTATTAACAGGGTTTTTGGCTGTATGTCTAGAAGAGTAGGTGATCTGACACATCAGTCGACTGAAACTTCTGTTGAGGCGTTTTAAAAATAAGGTACGATCCCCAACTCTTTTTAAAGTCTACTGCTTTCAGTTTGGCTTTGATAGAGGGAACACGTGTCAAAAATCTGAAAGAGTTCAAATAAGCTCCCATGAGATCTTCTTTCCACTTCACCATCGCTTGCCACTCATCAGCTTTTGCTGCATTTAAATTAGCTATCACTCTGCCATTATAAAATAAATTCAGTGAATTCCATTTCCCCTTACCTGCCCATAAGGGACAGCAGAATGATAGTGAACCTTACCTCTTGTTTGTTTACTTCAATTTTTATTTTTACATGAAACTGTGACATGCAAACACAACTTGTAAGGATTTCCTCAATAAGGGTTTCCTTCAGCAAATATGCAGACATAAAAAGGATTCATTAAATACCCAGGTGGCCAGATAATGCATAAAGTGGAAAGGGTAGATTTAAATGCAGTTCAAAAACTTAAAGAGAGAGAATTCTTGATGATGTTTTCTGAAATTTCAGCTTTCCCAGGCTTCAGGACTTCAGAATTCAGGACTGCCTGAATTCTAACCAGTCTCAAACATATCCAACATTACTTCTTGCCATGGCATTCTCAGCAATTTGCAGAAAACCAGTTCAGTAATGAAGAAGGCTGAAAAAAAAGCTGTTCAGATCTTCCATTTCCTAGCACGTCAAGAAAAGCTAAGCTCAGACTCTTGCTATCAATAAAAAGAAGGCCCTCTTCAAATTAGAGGTCTGAGAGCCCATTACTAGTTCAGGTAACTGGCAGACTAACATAAAGAGCCTATTGTCTTGGCTTCATTTCACATCTGTACATTTATTCTCTCAGACTTTTGGAGAACAGGACTTGAATCCAAGGCGAGAGAGCTGTTTGGGCTTCACCCACTCCAAGCTGAGATACCATTGATTTTTATTTAAACCTGTAATCTTCTTCAGTGGATCTCCCTGCCCCAAACAGAGAACTCCATCCAGATGCAATTTCCATTACTTCTGGTCACGTCGAACAGTTTCCTACTGACTGGCTGTCCTGATGACATGCAGTGCTGTGTGAGTAATGACACTATCTATTAACAAGCTGATTTACACCACCAAGTCGTTTGCTGTTTTTCCTCTGGAAGTAACTTCCTTGGTTTCAGGCTTTTTGACGCATATTATGTACAAGTACGACACAATCATACAGCACACTGGGACTCCATGCACTCCCAGGGTTCCATCTTCTGCTTGGAATCTGGATGGCATTTCCATTTCCGAGTTTTCTCTGTAAAATGAACTGGTTAACTGATACATGCCAATTTATTAATGATAAATTCAGTAGCTTACAACAGTCCAATACAGCTTATACAGAACATTACATCTGGAGCTCATCCTAGCCTTATAGATAATCATCCTCTGAAAGAAAACACTGATCTAAAACAGTTTTGAAAATTGGAATAACAACTGTTTTTTTCCGGAAACAATCCTTTTTCCCCTCTGTCACAAATACTATCTTTCATCAGCTTTCCTTAAGATTGAAAGGTGGGATCTTAACTGTTCACAGACGTGGAATAGCAAAGTCATTTCTAGACAGATAATTCTCAAAAATCTTTGCCACTGGAAACAAACAAAACTGATTATACAATAGCATAAATGGATTAACTCTGAACAGGAGAAAATCTTAGTTGTGTTGGTGAGCTGATCACCCAACTATTGCTGTGGATAAAGCCAGACAACTTAAAACCAGGGGGTTACTTAGCTCTGCATTAGGAAGTACGTACTGATGGTGATAGCAAGAAACTGAGACAGGGGCAGGGAAATTTCACATCAACAACATAGTAACAGCTTCTTATTCAGAGCTTGTTGCCATTGAATTTCCACTATTGTGTCATCTAGAATTAGTAATACCTTCCTAAAAATACACCTAAGCTTTATAGGCAAGAAAGTACTTCTCCCTTAAAATCCCTTCTGGACTACACACATCTTGATAAGGCTCCCATGAGTTCTCTGGTTTTGGCTTAGAAGGAAAACAAAGTTTTGGTGAAGAGCAATACACCTCCTTCAAAAAGTTGTATGAGAAAATGTCTTTCTATGTTGAGGGAAGGTGTCCAGTGACATCTCCTGTTTGTGTCCTACCCAGCGAGGAAGCAGACTGTCAAATGACATTCTACAATTAGCATTCATTTCTGTGAAAGAGTTCCATTTGGGCTCGCTCTGCAAGAAGAGGTGCCAAATGCTTTCTGACTCTTGAATTAAACGGGATAGCTGTCCCGTGAGCCTCTGATCTGCTCCAAACTGGCTTCAAGTACCTGATTTTTATCATGGGGATGGCAAGGCCAAGAGCACAGTTGCGGCATCCAAGGAAGTCACTCCTTGATAGTTCTCTTAGTCAATGTAAGATCATTAACAGGGCTGTATAATTACACACCTATTAACAGAATAGTCATTATACTTGAATAAAGGAGAACGGTGTTATTAAATGTCATGCACTGGGGTGTAAAGCAATCCTCTGCAAGTGCATGAGGAAATTGTGGTAAAACACTCATAGGAAACACAGAGATGGGACAGGTACCTTCACTGGTGACAAGAGGTGGGGATGAATAGAAAAAAGGTATGAGAACTAACAACCCAATTTAGCAAGCAGCCTGAATCAAAGAGGGCAGAACTGCAGGAATGGGATAATACCACACTGGGAGCACTGCTCTGCAGCAGCTCAACATTTTTTGACAAGTATCCAAGTTCTGCTGCAAGAGCATCAGGTTTATTCCAGCAATTGATCTGACAGAGAGGAGAACAGACATGCTAGATGAAGTAGAATTACAGCTTCCCTATACCATTCAGTCGTGAGCCAAATATCAAGATGTGCTCCTTCCAAAACCTATTTCACCGTAGAGTCCTGATTGGGGGGAATTTTATAGAAACTATTCTATGTTTGGGTTGGAAAGGACCTTAAAGATCATCGAGTTCCAACCCCCTTGCCATGGGCAGGGACACCTCCCACTAGAACAGGTTGCTCAAAGCCCCATCCAGCCTGGCCTTAAACACCTCCACGGATGGGGCATCCACAACTTCCCTGGGCAACTTGTTCCAGTGCCTCACCACCCTCACAGGAAAGAGCTTCTGCCTGATATTTAATCTAAATCTCCCCACCTCCAGTTTAAAATCATTACCCCTTGTCCTATCACTGCACTCCCTGATAAAGAGTCCCTCCCGAGCTCTCCTGTAGGCTTCCTTCAGGTACTGGAAGGCTGCTATAACATCTCTTCACAGCCTTCTCTTCTCCAGGCTGAACAACCCCAGCTCTCTCAGCCTGTCCTTGTAGAAGAGGTGCTCCAGCCCTCTCATCATCTTCATGGCCTTCCACTGGACTCGCTCCAAAAGATCCCCATCGTTCCTCTGCCGAGGGCTCCAGAGCTCGATGCAGTACTCCAGGTGGGGTCTCATGAGAGTAGTGGAGCTGAATCACCTTCTCCAACGTGCTGGCCACGCTACTTTAATGTAGCCCAGAATACAGCTGGCTTTTGAGCTGCAAGTGCACATTGCTGGGTCACACTGAGCTTCTCATCCACCGACATCCCCAAGTCCTTCTCAGTGTTATTCTCAATCCACTCTCCTCCCAGCTTCTATTTGTGCTTGGACCTTGCACTTGGCCTTGCTGATCTTCATGAGGTTCACATGGGTCCACCTCTCAAGCCTCTCATCCCTCTGGTGGCATCCTTTCCCTCCAACACTCCACACATCTTGGTGTCATCAGCAAACTTACTGAGGGTGCACTCAATCCCACTGTCCATACCGCTGACATGGACATATACAGCGCTGGTCCCAATACTGACCCCTGAGGAACACTGCTCATCACTGCTCACCAGTTGGACATCGAGTTGTTGACAGCAACTCTTTGAGTGTGGCCATCCAGCCAATTCCTTATTCACTGAGTGGTCCATCTGTCAAATCCACGTATCTTGAATTTAGAGACCAGGATGTCACATGGACAGTATCAAATGCTTTGCACTAGTCCCAGTAGATCATGTCAGTTGCTCTGCTCAATATTCTGTAACCCCAGAATGGGTTAATAGTAATTTCTAAAGGAAGGGTATAAGACTAGAGAATTCAGTATTGAAGGAAAAAAGGAAAGAGAATAACCCATCTCCCTCTCTCTGTTGGCATATTCTGCCCTTGACAATATTGGCAGTAAGATGCACAACCCATAAACCCCAAACATCTGGGGCCGTCATTAACAGTTTCATTAACATAATCACATGCCACAAAGTCTTTAGGAACACTAGAAATGAATACCCATGTTTACACACAGATTTGGGGGATGGTGAAGTGCTGTTTTTATGAGGGGTAACAAAATACCTAAGAATAGACACATTTTTGTCAGTATTTGACTCATGGGAAAGACATAGCTCCTCATCTGGGAGATAACCACACCTTTGCATGTGTGACCCAGTGAAGCCCTTGGCCCTTTTACTAATGGTATTTTTTCATTTCTCTGGGCATTGGCACATAATGCTAAATGAAGTTTTCTTTCACCTAATCAGCTGCAGAAAAATAAAAGGGAAAACTGAAATTTCAAGGATTAAATGACAACATAACTCAGCATAAAGGAACCCTGTGTCACCAAGGGTTGCCAGTGAACACCAGCACATTCAGTTACAACTGCCCAATGCCTCTTCCTGTCTATGAACTATAACATCAGGTTTTCATCACAAGGCATAAAAGCATCTCTCCTTGATCCTGTTCCACCCAGGCAGATAAAGCCAAACACCCCCCTGCAAAATACTGATGCATATGAAGAAGCATAAAGGTATGGAAAACATTCTGCTCCATTCCTGGTTTAGGAGAAATACAGTTGTGCTAGAAAGAGTAGCAGTAGTTAGATCAGACCCCCCCAAAAAAGGGGAGGGAATGGGAAGAAGTGTTGCATTGTGGTCTTCTGAGAGGCAGCAGAGCTGCAAAGCTCTTCCTATGCAGGGTGGACACTAAATCATCCACAGCTGGGCCTGTCAGATTGGAAGAGAATTGGCACTTCCACCAGGTATTAAAGCCAGGACCAGAGCTAGTGAAGTGAGCTCGTCTTTCCATATTGTCTGTTCCTTACACTCTTCTTCCACAGTAGCAGCATTTTTCTTATTGTGTAACTGATTTAAGGGGTCTGAGGGGAAGACAAATCTGTAACAGATCCTGGCTGTGTATTTGCGATCTCACTTTCATTTCCCTAATGGCTCTATTGTAATTAGATTTGCAAAACCAGCAAAAGGTCTCATTTTGAATAGCAACAGCTGTTGACATCAAGATTACATTGAATAATTTACTGGTTTAATTTTAGCTGCTAAACAATAAGAGCCTCTTGTCAAAGATTATTTCACTGGCTGAAGTTTTGTCTCTTTTCCCCTGGCTGCTCTCCCTTTCTTTGTATGCTGGACATCACTGTCTGCCTCATGGAAAACACATTTATAACTTACATGGCCCACGCAAAACAACAGTTGTGGATGTGACTACTATTATTTTGTTGCACAGATTCTTAATTCTGGCTCAGATACATGGGCTGTCTATTTCCAAATGTAACAAGTGATTCTGGGCACTTCGACAGGACTTGAGAAATTGATGTTTGCACTCAGATCCTTGTACATAGCATGGTTTCAGAGAAACCCTTTCCATCAGTCCCTGTATGAAAAAGAGGGCAGTAACACTTGTCCCACGGTAGTGCTGATAGATTAGTTCACCAATACCAAGGAGCAGAGACAAAAATTCCATCAAGTATATACTAAATAAAGTAATTTTACAGGCCTACACTTAGGTTAAGTATTGATGGCAGCATTTGCTACAAACCAGTGCTAGCTAGATGACAGGCTAAGAGTGTTGCTATGAAAAGCTGTTCTCCAGAGATTTCAAAAGGGGTAAAAGTTTTTTTTCTTAAAAGCTGCTGGACATTCCTGACTGTAAACCAAGTATCACGAGAGACCTGAAAGTCAAATGTTGCTTTACTGCTGCACGTGCTCTGTTTTCAGGACTGGGACAATGCTTTACCAAGCCAAAGTGACCGTAAATCATCACGTGCTATAAACAGTAAACAGGATGGCTCACTTCACAGAATGTGCACTTACCCTTGCGTGCAGTTTGGATGACACGGATGGCACTCACGATCCTCATCAGCGTATTTGAAAATGAAGCTGTTGGCCCCCTGTAAGCCATCAGGACATTTTTCCACACAATTTGGACCATCCTTAAAATGGAAACACTTTGTGCAATGGTCAGGTCCCTGGAGAGCACAGAACAAAGAAATGCAATGCGTTGAAGTTACTGTGTCTTTTCCTGGCAGCACTCTCAATAGTAACTCTAGTAACATTTCTCCCCCTGTGAACAGTGAATTAGTTGTATGATTCCAGTTTCCATTAAGGAGCAGCACTAAGATGTGTAAATCCTGGAGCTTTTGGCTGTAAATTTATTCTGTAGAGTATAAGACTAAATTCCAGCTTCTAAACAGGTTTTTCAATATTATCATAGAATCATAGAGTAGTTCAGGTTGAAAGGGACCTTAAAGATCATCGAGTTCCAACCCCCCTGCCAGGGGCAGGGACACCTCCCACCAGACCAGGTTGCTCAAAGCCCCATCCAGCCTGGCCTTGAACCCCTCCTGGGATGGGGCATCCAGAACTTCCCTGGACAACCTGTTCCAGTGTCTCACCATCCTCACAGCAAAGAATTTCTTCCTAATATCTAATGTAAATTTCCCCCCTTTCAGTTTAAAACCATTACACCTTGTCCTATTGCTCCACTGCCTGATAAAGAGTCCCTCCTCATCTCTCCTGCAGACCCCCCCTTTCAAGTACTGGAAAGGGCTCTAAGGTCTCATTGGAGCCTTCTCTTCTCCAGGCTGAACAATCCCAACTCTCTCAGCCTGTCTTCGTAAGAGAGGTGCTCCATCCCCCTGATCATCTTTGTTACCCTCCTCTAGACCCGTTCCAACACGTCCCTGTCCTTCGGGCTCCAGAGCTGGACACAGTACTCTAGGTGGGGACTCACCAGAGCAGAGGGGCAGAATCACCTGCCTTGACCTTCTGGCCAACAGGACGCTGTTGGCTTTCTGGGCTGCCAGCACACATATTATCGGGGTGCTTAACACAATGGATGCCCACTTTAACTCTTAGAAATATCCCGCAACAATGTTCAATACTGAACCACATTTGCAAAGCAACTGCAACGGCTCTTCAGTGGGATCCCCTACCTCTGCACTCCAGAATCATTTTCCACACTGCATTCTCCCTGTGCTATCTGGTCACAAGAACACTGCAGAACTAGGAGGTCTCCTTCCTACATATACACAGCTCATAATATAGCCTAGGCTATTATGAACTACAAACCAAGGCTCCTGGACAACATGAAACTAAAATTCTAAAGCTGTGGTCGTGAGCTAGTGTATAACCAAATCTTGGTGTTCAGGTTGAGCACTGGTCTATGATTTTATGTCCAGGAGCCTGCTACAAATTCACATTTCCCTCATGGGTTGAATACATGAAACATTATCTTTTTGCTTTACAGTTGTGTTGCAGAAAACACAGTATTGCAATTAAAATGATGTCTTTTTTTTCCATTCAGTAGGTAAGTCACAAAAATAAGGAAATAAGTTATGGATTAAATTTCCTCAATGATGAAGAGCCTAAAATACAACTCCTCATTACCCAGGATACTTGTGACATACAAAAAACCACAAGAGACAACTTCTATCTCACAAAAAACAATCTTTAAAAGAGGACTCACTGGCCATTATAAAGGTGAACAGCCACAGTTAACATTCATTTAGGATGCATGAAAAAAAACCTCTATCAAAACAACCTAAAAAGCTAATTTAAAAAAAACCAACCCTCAACATACCGTTCAAGCTCACTAAGAGACCCAGACAAATTCCCACACTTTTTCTTTTGGAGGAAAATTAATTAAAAGTTGTAGTAAAACAGGACAGAATTAAGTATAAAGAATGAAAACAGTGACAAAGCGTGCACTTGATTTGTATCTGCATGCTATGTCATTAAAAAATCTTGTTCATCAGTACCACTAAGGCATTTTCTCAGATAACTCAGGAAAGAAAGGACGTTACTTTTTAAACCACTTTCTTAAGGAGGCTGATACAAGGATGTTTATTCCCAGCACTAATTTAGCAGAATTCTTTCCCTAAATTCAGAATATTTGTATTTTCTGGTTTTGTTAACATTAATTTTCAATCGCCACTTTAAAGTCTGTAAGCAGAAAACCCCTGTGCATTAGCACACTTCACCACCCTAGTCCATAACACATCAAATTTTGTTCTTACCGGCCCGTAGCACGTGATCATGTTTTCTTCCATCTTTTCACACTGGGGATCACACTCCACACAGACAGATCCATTTGCAAATTCTCGAAATTCCCTAGGAAAATATTTTGCAGGCAGGTCAGGAGAAAGCAGAAGTGAGACTGAAACTGAGACAAAATGGCTGGCTCTTCACCTGGTGGAAATCATTTCAGCTTCACTAAGTCCAGCTGACTGCGCCAGCTGAGATCACTCCTGTTAATGACATTATGCTGCTTTACACCAGCTGAAAACCAGGCCCCATCAGCAACCTAATTCACAGGTATTTTTGTTTAGCAGTTTAAAACTAGAGTGCTTTTTTTCTACTCTTCCCTTAAGAAATAAGGACCTCATTAACAGGACAAAGCAGCTCATTTCTTGATTTTTATCTATGGAATTATGCCTCATGGCTCAGTTCAGAAGCCACTTGTTACATGTGAGACATCACTATCTGAAAAGAAGGACTAGAAAGAGCACTGATCACAAGTGCTGTTCTTGTTTTAGTTAAGTCTCTGCACACACTGCTGTTTTAAAGCCCGTTCTTCAAAAGGCTCGTAACTTCTTCACCAACAATTCTAGACTTAGGTCTAGATCTAAAAAAGGTCAAAACAAATCCTTTTGATCATTTATTTCATGTATGCACAAGAAACTGTTGCTCTAGTGACTTATTTTATTAACCACTAATAATGGGTGGAGGGTGTGGGGGAAGTAGTGATAGTTGGTGGGATTTCTTTCACCAAATACCAGGTATCTCATTTCAGCTTTCAGTTGCAACCCACAAAAAAACCTTCAGGACCTTCTCAACACAATTCATGCTACCTTCTTGTAGGCTAAGATGAATTAACACCTGAACAGGTCACTTCTCTCCCACTAACCACAAAGAGAATCTATGTAACTAGTTCAGACTGGACACCTAAGCTTTGCAGATGGATACCATCTTGTTGCATTAAGCAGTTAAAATATTTGCATTAAATTGTTAAATATGTGCTGCACACTCATGTCAGTTGGTTCTAGTAATATTCAAGTAAAGGTTAAGACCTCTGAGCTTAGTTTATCAATGTTCTCCTTCTGCTCCTCTACAGCCCAATATTAGGATGCATCTTCATTCTACAGCCTAATTATTAATTCTTCTGCTGCAGCTAACATAAACAGTTCAGCTCTATCTTTCTGTCACAAGCCAGACTCAGCCACCTTGGCTGTGCTGTATGTAGGTTTTTAGTCAGCAGAATACTAGATAAAGCCTTCTACAGAAGTTCAGATTGGGAAATACTTAAAACTTATCCTACAATATATATCACTCAAAAGCAGCAATACTGGCAACGGAACCAAATATTGATTAACGTAAAAGTCCTGAACAACGTAGTCAGCAACTTTAGGGGAAAGTACAAGGGAACCATCTTACCCGTCGTACAGGTTACAAGAGTCTATGCAGGTCCTTCCCCTGATGAAGCGCTTGCAGGAGAGACACTGGTCTGGCCCTGGCCCCCAACAGCCATCACTTGAGCATAACTCATTACACACCATTCCATCAGCAGCTGCAGAGAAAGAACATACTATCATTAATGCACATAGTTCCCTGAAATCCAAGGGAATACATTTCATTCAGCATTCTGCCACACTCAGAGAAGTAAACTGAACATTCAGATTTTCTAGAAACGGAATAGAGAAAAACCAGAAAATTATCATTCTACCACTACAGAAACACCCTGTGCACTCACAGTTTGAATACGATACACACTTCTGGTTTGTTCCTTTCAGAATAGATACAGTAGAGTGAGAAAAAGCTTTAAGAGCACTGCACGGACGATTGAAACTAGAGAAGAGCACTATGTTTGTTCCTTTCAGAATAGATACAGTAGAGCGAGAAAAAGCTTTAAGAGCACTGCACGGATGATTGAAACTAGAAAAGAGCTTCTACACCAGGAATAAACAGATGAGTAGCCTTAGATATGGGTGAGAAAGGACATGGTAAAGGTCTATAAAATCTGAATGACAAGAAGAAGATAAGTAAGCATGAAACAATTGTTTGCTGCTTCTTCCAAGAACCTCATGGGCATTCAAGGAGACAGGAACCCAATAGGTTCTAAACTGAGATTTTTTTTCATAGAAAGTAAAGATCAAGTTGCGGAATTCCCTGAAACAGGACATGGTAAATACCAGCAATTTAAAGGACTTGAAAAATCAATTGTCCAAATCCACAGGAGGGCTATTGAACTAAAATATAAAACACTACCTCTGAATTGAGGACTCCCTGAAATAAAATTGATAGACAGTGGGGAAAATGTTGAAGAAAAGTCATCATTAACTGTGTTTTTTTTTTTAAACTGTTTATTACAAAAGCACCCCAAGAGCCAAAGAGCCTTTATGTTAAAGACCCCCAATCCACAATTTTGGTCTCAAACCCAAAATTCGGTTCAAATAAACAAAATGAACAAAGAGTGAGGGGAAAAGGTTGTTTCAAACAATGTAATTAATTCTGTATTTTTACTTTATATAAATCCTCCTCTACATAAATATCTAGATGACTGTGACAGATGAAGAAAATCAGATGAAGAGCAAAAGGAAACACGTTATCTCTCCAGCATCTGAAGAAAGTCCAGTTGCACAGATCCAGCCAGACCCTGACATGAAAAGGTAAATCACTTAATTTGAATTTACCCTTGCATGATGAAACGTTTTATGCAAATGGCTACATACTGGACTCAGTAGATTAAAACAGCAAAAATCTGAATGTCAGAAATGGCAAATATACAAGCACTTGTTTGGGTTTTGTTTTGGTTTTTTTAACACCACTGGAAACAACATGAGGGAAGTGTCAAATAATAAATTAAAAGTAAGTTTTCTGGTAGAATTCTACCACCATCTCCAAAGCTGTAGCAAAGATACAGAGTCAAGAATAAACACACACACACACACACACACACTGAATACACCCATAAAACAGCAAGTACCCTGCCCAGCACAGGTTTAAAGAGGGGCGATGGCAACATCAACACAGAATCTTCTTACAAAAATGCAAAATTCCCTCTGGCAGCTTTACATTAAATAAAATCTGAGGATGGATGAGAAGTCAACCAAGAGCTTATGGGTCAGGATTAAAGTGAAGGCAGGGACAGGTGAAATTATAGTGAGGATCTGCTACAAGCCACCTAACCAGGAAGACAGAGTGGGTGAGGCCCTCTACAGTTAGGAGTAGCCTCATACTCACAAGCCCTAGTCTTCATGGAGGATTTCAACCACCCTGATATCTGCTGGAGGGACAAACCAGCAGGGCATAAGCAATCCAGGAGGTTCCTGGAGTGCATTGATGATAACTTCCTTCTCCAAGTGATTGAGGAGCCAATGAGGAGAGGTGCCAGGAGTGGTGGACCTTCTTCCCACCAAGGAAGAGGGGCGAGTAGGCAAGATGAGTGAAGCTTCTTCCATATTTCCTTTCTACTTGCAATAGGATATTTTGCTTTAGCAAGATTGAGAATAGCAGATTTGCATCTACTTGTTTCTTTTTCTGCCTAGAAGACTTGCATAATTCAGTGCCAAAAAACGACATTTCACCTTTACACGCAGCATAGGAACCAGTCAAAGATTTCATGTCCTCCAGCCCTTGCAGGAAACTGATCCAAGAACACAAGATTCATCAGCTTTCTTCCTACATGTACAGCCCTGTTGCTGACCCTGCATGGCTCTGCTGTACAACACATGTAATTCAGCAGATGGATGAGCACTGTCGTATTCAATACATGAAAAGACCGCACATTTATGTGTTATTAAGGCTGGAATGCTTGAATACATGTATTTTCTTTATACCATGTATACTTTCTTAATGACAACATCCAGAAGGTATTCAGAAGTATCTTTTTGGCTGTTCTTTTGCCTCAAAGATCGAATCAGGTACAGGTATTCAGAAGTATCTTTTTGGCTGTTCTGTTGCCTCAAAGATCAAATCAGGTACAGCCAAACATAAAATAATTAAATTTAGGAGTAATTCCAGGTGTTCATTTAATTTCCTTCAAAGCGTATTAATTCTCAGAGATTCCAGCACAGCAAGAGACCCCAAACCCACAAAATATCACAGTTCTAATTAAGGAAACTTCTTGTTTGAGTAGTTTTATTTTCTAGTCAATGACGCACTTTAAGTCCTTGCCACACAATAAAATCCCACCCTGCTTTAGAGAACCTTTTGTTCTTATTTTCAATCTTTAGAATATTAGTAATTCTTCTGGTTTTGTTTTACATACTCTTGCATTGAAAGGCAGTTTCCTATTTGCTTTCTCACCTTTTTTTGTAACTTGAAATTGTGCTTTTATTACTAGAGATTTCCTTTCTTTTCACTGCTTTCAGCTGTCAAACTACTCCGAGATCAGAATTTATTCGCACACACACTAAAATATCCCTTCAAACAGCAAGTGACACTATTACAAGGTAGCTCAGAAAACACAGCGAGTAACTTTATGCAAATAAAACAAGAGCTTCTCAGCAAAGAAAATCATGATTACCCTACTGAAATGTAGCCAACACAGTGCCTGTACTCTATGCAAAAAGTAAGAGTAAAAAAAAATCACTATTTCCTTCTGCTTATTTCTAAGTCATAGATAAGTTTTCATAAATGAATTTTGGCAAGAAAGGAGTGGGTTTTTTGACACCACATAAAAACCTATTATGCTTGTCTTTCTTCCTCCTCCTTAATTATAGGGACAGCTAAATAAATGTTTCAATTTTAGTCACATTGTTTGGCATTCCCAGGGGCTGAGAAGGTTCTGAAGCTCCAGCATACCGCCCGGCCATATGTGGAAGGAAAGAATAATGCTTTTGACAGGAACTCATTTTCATCATGAGTTTTAGAACAAGTGTTCATTCTTTATTAATGGGGTCATGCAGGTTAGAAGCAGAACGCTTCAATGTTTTTCCTCAGCCTAGACAGAACACAAGAAAATTAGCTATCTAAAAAAAGGAAATGATTGTTATTTGGCTATACACTTATGGGCCTAATCCAAAGCTGCATGAACTCAACAGAAAAGCCAACACAGACTTCAGTTCACTTTGCATCACACCTGATAATGAAAGTAATCATTTATTCAAGTTGTTAATTGGTGGCTAAATTGACGTAATTCCAAACAATCATATTTATAACAACCTTTGTGTAGAAAGGTTTCACTATACTCTGTAGGTGTAAGGCAAAGGAATTATTTAAATGATTTTGTATAAAAGAACATTTTTTTCTATATTTATTTTGTGTGTACTTATATTTAACATGAGCCACATCTGACTATTCCATAAAAAAAAACCCTACTAGGAAAAAAAGGCAGATTCTTCACTTCAGCACGAAGCAATGGTAAATCTAACTACCAGAGCACATTCTCTAGCAAAGAACTTTATAGCAATTCATTCTGCATTAATAATGTTCATAACAAACTTAACTTCTATGCACAAACCATTTAACGTTACAGTTTATAGTAGTAGACAATTAAAAGTCTACATTAGATGAGAGCTTCATGCATTACATTTTAGATAAATGCCCTCCAATTTATTTCCACTCTGCTTATCAGTTTGAAGATGCCCATTTGCCACCTAAACTCTCAAACAACCTTGGGAGACACTGTGAGACTCAAATCCTCTCTGACCAAAGCCCCAACCCTTTTAGGGTCCACACAGTTCAGAAGTCTCTTGCTGACGATCAGGTACCACTGCCCTTTCCTTGATGCTCAGCCTCAAAGGTGCCACTTATTTCTGCATTCCCAGTGTACACAAGCTTGGACACTGACATTTCTATCCCTGAATGTGTGTAGGGAAGGTGGAGAAGAGAGAGAGGTCACATTTTCCATTTACTTTAATCTGTTGTCTTTACCTCCTTACCAAACAAAAAAAACCCCAATGAATAAATCTGCCAAACCCTATAATGTCAGTGTTAACTTGAAGATGAAGCACCACTATAGACTGAAGATTTCAACAAATATTTTACTCCCCCAACAATTTTATAAGTATTTCCTCACTGACCCATGTGGTCAGCTGAGCACAGCATTAAACGGTAAGGAAGGTACCACTATCTTGTTATATATCCTAGAAGTCACTTAAACATGATGCTTATTACACCTTGGAAGCTCTACCATGATTTTTAAGCAAAGTTACACATGGACAGTAAATGTTTGCTGTAACTTGCCTTAAGTCATTAAGAATCACTAGGTAGTCGGGAAAGCAAGAACAAGCTGATAGTGACTCAAAAGATACATTGCCTTAAGTCATTAAGAATCACTAGGTAGCCAGGAAAGCAAGAATAAGCTGATAGTGACTCAAAATATACAAAGGATAGTAATAAACATACCTGAAAGTGGCTGTAATAATTAACATGGGCTAGACTGGTTTGTTCACTAGAAACCATGTGAAAAAAAATCCTTAACAATATTTTTATTAACAATTCATACTCTGCTAATTTCCATGCAAGCAGACAGTATTTCTACCATAGAAGATGGATTCCAATCCTGCAAATATTTACTTATGCATTTCCCTTCCCCATTCTGATTAGTCTTACTTGGTCACTCGGAGAGACATGGGCATATCCCCAAGCATCTGCAGGATCAGGGGCCAGAATAGGCAAAAGAACTGAAAGGCAGAAATGGAAACCCTAGAGGCTTGCCCTCAGATCCCAAACATTCAGGCAGCAAAGATTCAGAGAAAATTCTCCTAAATGCCAGCTTTTGGCCTATCCTGATTATTCAGAGTATGCTGGATAAATACATCTAGTTCGAAGGAAAAGTTCTGCCCTACTGTAATTCTGAAGATTTTACTTAAACATCTGACCTGTATCAGAATCCATTTAACTGCAGAAAGGTGCTGACTGACAGGCAGAGTTGAAGCAGCAGTGTAACTCTTCTCACCTAATGCTGATTCTCAAAATGCCACAAAACATTAATCAATTCATTCACACAGATGTGCACAGAGAGAGAAAACCACTGTGCCCTGTTAGGGATCAGGAATTCTGCTAAGACACTCTCTTCTGATCAGAGTTACTTGGCACCTAGCCTAGATTCATTAAATACAGTCCATTTAATGAACATAGGTTAGACTTCGTTTTTAAAACTAGCCCCTTGGTACTGTAGATTACATTGTGACTTCTTAAAACAAAATGAATGAGATTTTTTTTCATCATGAAGATTCCCTTGGTGTTCATTTTTCATAGAATATCTTTAGGAGTATTTTTGTTCCTGGAAAATTATGAGTCTCTATCATAACAACTTGTCAACAAGCTAAAAGTTAAATGAAGTTTCCATTTTCCCTTTGTGTGCAAATGTAGTGGCAAGCTGTACAGTGCAAGAGGATGATGTGACAGTATATCCCAGTTGCCATTTGCCCTGGAAGCCCTGATTTCAGTAGCTGTGGCTGCTGGGACTCAAAGGGCTCAAACTTAGTCATCAGAGGAAAGGGCAAAGAGGTATTTGTCAAAGGAGTCCTGACAACTAATATGGGAATGAATATCTTCCAAACTACTGTGTTCAGCTACGCCCCCCAAGCTCCCAAAAGCAGTGGAACAAACGGGCCACTGTTCCATCAATGGAAAAGAGCCTTACGAAGTTCACCTCTGAGTGGTTTTCCACTTGTCTTCTAACGTATTGTAAGTTACAGAGAGCTTGAAGCAAAGAGGAAGCATTACTGTCTGAGACACAGGGCCTGTGTTCCACCCTATTACTGCTAATCTTATTTTTATACTCAGTCTCTAGGAGTGGAAGAGAGCTGGCTGTTCTTTGATTAAATGATGCCTCGCTATCAGTCAGCTACAGCCAATCTGCTGTTAGAAAACATCAAAGAGCACCAATAGCAAGATTTTTCTCCCACAGTCAGCAGTTTTTCATAAGGCAGAGAGGAAACCTGTGCTCTCTGGAAAGTTCCCAGGTTCATGTATCTCACAGCAAGAATAAGACTACTAGGATCTTGGCATATAACCCTCGTGATTCTTGCATGGTCATCAAGAACTTTTGCTTCTTCAGATTGATTCTGTTCCATATGCGAAATCTCAAAGAGCTAATTATTCTTGTCATGACATATAAAATACAGTCGTTACCAGACTGCTAGCACAGAACTAGGTTCCTCCCTGCCACACGATCCTATTGAATTCCAACCCCACTGCAGGGAAAAGCAACTAGCAACCCAGCATCCCTGAACAGAGGTGATCCTCCTTCTTGGCAACACCTTCATTTCTCAAATAATATACCATTCTTCATAACTGGATTTCTATATGGGGGCAGAAAAAAACCAGACTGTGTACCAGAACGACAAGCCATCTACAAATGCTCTAGCTGGCAAGACTGAAGGCACTAGTTATTCATGGGAAGTCAGGAGGCTGTTCAGCCTGGAAGAACGAAAGCTCCAGGGAGACCTTATTGTGGCCTTTCAGTACTTAAATGGGGCGTACAGAAAAGATGGGGCCAAACTTTTCAGGAGGGTCTGTTGTGATATGACAAGGGGTAATGGTTTTAAACTAGAATAGGATAGATTTAGACTAACTATAAGGAAGACATTTTTTACAATGAGGGTGGTGAGACACTGTAACAGGTTGCCCAGAGAGGTGGTAGAAGCCCCATCCCTGGAAACATTCAAGGTCAGGTTGGACGGGGCTCTGAGCAACCTGATCTAGTTGGTGTCCCTGCCCATGGCAGAGAAGGCTGGACTAGATGACCTTTAAAGGTTCCTTCCAAACCAAACTATTCTATGAAAACAGAACTTTTACCAAGAAAAGTTCTGTTCAACGCATCCTTCTGTATTCGCATAAGAAAGTCAATCATACCCTGGGCTGCATCCAAAGAAGCATAGCCAGAAGGCCTAGGGAAGCGATTTTGTTCCTCCACTTAGCTCTGGTGCAACCCCATCACATAGGGTCACATTTTTGTCCCATGTAGGAGCACCTCTCCTATGAGAGGTGCTGAGGGAGTTGGGGTTGTTCAGTCTAGAGAAGAGAAGGCTCTGGGGAGACCCTATTGTGGCCTTTCAATTCTTAAAGGGGGCCTACAGAAAAGATGGGGACAAACTTTTCAGGAGGGTACAAAAAAGATGGGGACAAACTTTTCAGCAGGGTCTGATGCAATATGACAAGGGGTAATGGTTTTAAACTAGAAGAGGATAGATTTAAACTAAACATAAGGGAGACATTTTTCACAATGAGGGTGGTGAGACACTGTAACAGGTTGCCCAGAGAGGTGGTAGAAGCCCCATCCCTGGAAACGTTCAAGGTCAGGTTGGATGGGGCTCTGAGCAACCTGATCTAGTTAAAGGTGTCCCTGCCCATGGCAGAGGAGGCTGGACTAGATGACCTTTAAAGGTTCCTTCCAAACCAAACTATTCTATGATAAACTTTTACCAAGAAAAGTTCTGTTCAACACATCCTTCTGTATTCAGACGGGGCTCTGAGCAACCTGATCTAGTTGGTGTCCCTGCCCATGGCAGAGAAGGCTGGACTAGATGACCTTTAAAGGTTCCTTCCAAACCAAACTATTCTATGAAAACAGAACTTTTACCAAGAAAAGTTCTGTTCAACGCATCCTTCTGTATTCGCATAAAAGAACAACAAAGTATAAATATGCTGCAGTTTAAAACTGGCCAGTGGACTGATGGAGGTTAAGGAACAACCCTTTCCCTCTACACCTTCAGGCACAGTCACAACTGAAATATCTACATCAACTGCAAAAGACATACCTTTAACCTTCACTTTTTAAACTGGTACGTAGAGAAACATCATCATCATCAAACCCCAAAACAAAGTCAGGCAGTGAACTACCAAACAAGACCTTCCACTTCATGCAGCTCTTACACAGCAGAGAAGGTTAGAAAAATAACTGAACAGCAGTGAAAAACGTACAGTTTGTTTCACCTAACACTGGAAGGAGTGAAAAACGTACAGTTTGTTTCACCTAACGCTGGAAGGTACACTCATACTTACAGTGATGAGCACAGCCACAAATTCTCTCAAAACATAACAGAATAGTACTTCAAAGGGAGGGGAAAAAAAAGAACTAAAAGAGTAAGTTAAAAGTAGGACCACAGCCTGAAAAAACCCAAAGCAAACATTTCTGGCCAAGCACAAAACTCAGAAATCTCTTAAACATACAGCAATTTAATGAATCTCCTCTCTTGCTAGCAGCCTAACAGATGCTTAAAATGAACTGGATTGCTGCTCCAATATGACTGCATTAATGCAATTTGCTGCCCGATTTCTGCAAAACCAAGTTCTTTCATCTGCTACATAGCAGTCATTGCTTTTCAGTACTATGATCTCAGTCCAGGTACTAGCACGTAAGCTTTCCTGAAAGACAATCAGGCCCAATTTAAAGCAATCTTTTTCAGACAGGTCAAATACAGAAAGGAGGAACTCGGTGATCAAAACCAGTCCCTGAAGACCTGGAAGTGCCCCTCAGGTGAAGCAGGGTAGAAGCAGCAAAAGTTGAAAATCTCACTCCATAGGAAATTGCTGTATTTTCAAATCTGTAAAGTTAAGTGCCTTTCATGAACGCTACATTCACTCCACATTTACGGCCTTCAGAACTTGTATTCATGAAACTGGATCTCTGATCTGGAAACTTCACATCACAGTAAGCAAGCAGTGACCTCTCTCTCCTCCGTTTCATTTGTTCCTACTCTAAAACATTTCATTTGCCTATGAATTTTGAGAAAACTGGGCCAAATTCTTAGATTCTGTAAATGATCACAGCTCCACTGACGTCCGTGGAGCTCCAAGAGACACCAAGCTCCTGGCCTGCTCACCGCACTGTATCCTGTCAGTAATTGTATCATTTTCCCCCAAAGTGAGCCAACTCTAGGCAAGAAGATTTGCACTGAGCAGCAGTACTTACTGCAGTTCTCTGCCTTTTTATTTCGATGAATCACCGTCTTTTGACTGGGTGTGCTGAAGAGGCTGGTCCAGTTAACAGTGTGGTAGTAGCACAAATTGCTGTTGTCTGTTATGTAGATGTTGCCAGCACTGATTTGCTTCAAGGACTGAAACTGCAGGGAGGTAATGCCTTGTTGCTTCAGGATGAGTAAGGAAAGGCCACTGTGATGAAAACAAAAGTGAGAACAGGAATTAGCTCCAGAAGATGGAACTTATTAGAGCTGGTTGGGAATTTCCCACTAGAATTAGTTCTTAATGTCAAGAAGAACTTTTATGCAAAACTGGAATTTGGTCAGAAAACTTTTATTTTGCGGCGACATAAATATTTTATGAGTCAACATCCAGTTCTATTGCCTGGAAAATTATAAGCCCTGTGAGCCTTGTGATATCACAAGTTGTGATGCTCAGAGCACCAGGCCAATGAAACACCTCAATCAGTTACATTTCATCATTAACTTGTTTTTTGAGTTAAAATGCTGTTGAGAAAACTGAAGAAAATCAAGGTGTTTTTTTTTCCTAAGATGACAGAATTCATACTATGATAGTTTATATGCTAAGGAGAAACTGACAAAGTCATGCAAAATGTATTAACATCATCTGTCAGGCATCAAATTAATGTCATTTATAGTAATACAGGAAGAAATTGTTATTTTCAAGGAATTTTTTCCAGCCCACTTTCTACGTTTCGTTTTTCTTTTGTTGTAATATGTGGTTATCTCCTTTCTTCATCAAAGGAACGGTAAATGATTGTCTGTGCAATACGGAAATGACTGCACATATTTTATGACTGAAGATTAGTGAAGACAATATCCAGTTTCTGGGCATCCTTTAAGTTATTGTATTTTAATTATTATAATTGTTTTCCAGCTGTTCCAAATAAAAATTGCTGCTTCCAAACAGAATGCTGGGCTGTAATTCAATCTCAGGGTTTCACTGCTATTCATAATCTGCTTGGGTTGCTGTTTAAGATGCCAGCAGAATCCCATGACTGATTTACTATATTTACACAACGGGGAACCAGGGGTTGCTGTATATATCATTCAGATGCCTTCTTGTCCTTCCCTCATTATTTTTCACCACGCTTTCTTCTCTTCAAATCGATTCCTCCGTATTGAGTTCTCATACAAAAACATCTCTGGTAAAAACGGTACTCCAGAGCCAATGCACACCCTACCTGTGAGGTGCCTCAGTGATTTCACTGTTCTTGTAGGTATTTATCTGTTACCACTTCTTAAAATGACATTGTTCTTTGGGCACATGAGCCTGCACTTCCAGTTGCAACCATATAAACTTCCTGATAATTGGGCTAAATTCTACTAATGGGCCTGAATTCTACTATTAATGTATATTCAAGTTATGTTTCACATTCACAAGCTATTTTAAAACATCAAATGTACTTTCCGGACAATGGGTTAATAGCTACAGCAATGAACCAAGATAATCTTTTTTTTAAAAAAAAACCAAACTCATTATGTTCAAAAGATATTACCTATTATAAACAACTGATTAGAAAAGATACTGTTAATGAACACCTTGGTAACAGAGAAAAAACATATTCATTTATGATGCCCTTCCCAGAAGATGTTGCTCTCTGTGCTACTGAACAAATAACCATTGAATACTAATGAAAAATTATTCCATCAACAGAGGAAGCACCTTACCTATAGAGAGCTCTTCCACCGATTGTAACCAAGTTAGAAAACACCCTGAAATCTGTCATATTCTCAGGCCACGACTGTATGTTCAAATACCCTAAAGGAGAAAAAGGCAAGTATATGAATGTCAATTATTTCAGCCATAGGGACTGCTTTATCACATACATGAAATTAGGACAGGCTTAGCCTATAAATGAAAGGCAGTGCTGGCTTGAGAAAAATAAATAAATAGGTAATAAATGCTGCAGACTAATGTCTTGGAATTCATCAGCCTGCTCACCACTGTCTCCTCCAAGAAGGCAAAGAAGGACTCTTAATAGTCACAGCAGCACTACAACCACTTTCAACAGCCACAGAGAGGGTGAACCTAAACACAGGCTGGAATCTTGGAAGGCCTCCCAGACTTTTCAAAACAGCAGCAGCAGCAAAAAAAATGAAAGTTTGCCCAAATTAAGAACATTCAGCTTTAAAACTAAGTTGAAAGATCCATAATGATGCATTAAAAGTTAACAATATTTTCCTAAAACAAAGAACTTGCATTTGTTTCTGAGTGTGTTATAGGACTGTTGATCACCAGAGAGCATTCTCTGCATAAGTAGGTGGAACTACTTATTTTTTATGCCCCACAGTCCTCTACAGAGTGCAGTTCCCTATGATTTGGATTCAGTACTATAGACTGAAACACAGCGCATGTCTAAGCACAGTGATAATTCCACTGAATTTGTAGAGTTGAGACTGTTAAATAGACAGTGTTCTTAGGAATAGTAAATTACAGACATCCAGACATCTTTAACTTTAATTAAGGAGAGATTTAGTTTAGTTTCATTTTATAATCCCACCAGCTTGCTTTCATGCTTTCGAGTGAGGACCAAGACCCTTCACTCACTCAATAGTAGGGTCTTGGTCTTCTGATGCTTGCGTACCCCCAATGTAATGGGCAGTCTGTATTCATAAGCAAAGGACAAAACACTTGTAAGTATCAACTGATACTGATGTTGCTGTTTATTAAACTTTCACACGTTTAAATTGCGAATTTAAAGAAAAAAGCACCTCGTGTTCTTCAGAAAACCCATCAAATGACAACCACAAGTGCAAAGTAAGAAGTTCAGATTCTAGAAAATCAGAGTACATTACCTGTTATCTCTCTCACTGTTTGGAAGATATTTAATTTCTCTGGATTGATTGCGGCGATTGTGTGATACGGGTCTCTGAAAGATTAAAAAGACAGTATGTGATACTCTGAATAAAAAAAAGATCAGGTTCTCAAAGCAGTATTCAGGTCAACACTTTGCTTCTTGGCAGCTCCTGATTTCTTCAGACTGTTTCCAATTTCTTCAGACTGCTGTTCCTGCAGAACCTGTGACTTCTCCCAAGTCATCTTGAAGGAAAATAACGGTGCTTAGCATCTTTACCCTTCAAGTCATTAATGTTTTAGCAAATATTTATGCTCATGGAAAATTAAGGGATTCTAAACAACCATGCACGACCTCCCTAAAGGAAGACAAATTTCCAACATTTTTTCCATGAATACTGGCTCAAATGCTACAGTAGCGATACTGTACTACCAGGACTAACAAATCTGCTACTGAAATGAGTGACAAGCTATAAGGAAAACAAAACTAAGAGCTTTCCAGCGGTTCCTGACACATGGCATTGAGACCGTATGCTTTTCAGAGGGTGTTGAACAGGGAACAGCAAAAAGAACCGATCCTTGCCAAACAAGTTTGTCACCTGAGAAATGAAATACCACCACCAAACACTAAACTCTTACATAGATACGCTACAGTGTAAAAAGATGAAGCTGACCTTGATTTTGAGACTGCCATCATTTAGTAAATATTTTTTTTCCCTAATTTTAAAGGACTAAAGGCTCTCCAGCTATTTAAAAAGCCGACTAGAAGCCTAACCCAAACAAAAATCCTTTAAAAATCCAGGAAAAGGCTCTTGTGTATAACACAGCATTATGGTATTTTTGTGAGGTTTCTGATGATAGGAATCATCCTCAGTAAACGTAATGCGTGCATTTCTACCTCTCCTCCTTCTGCTTTCCAAGAGACATCAATCCTGAAATTGGAACATGCAGGTAGGTCATCAAGCAGGCTGTCTTTGGGGAGAGGCCTCCCAAGCCTAAGACAGACTGACGGGGTCACGCTGTCTTTGGGGAGAGGCCTCCCAAGCCTATGACAGACTGATTTTTGTCAGTTAGGTTGACGGTTGGACAAGATGATCTTTAAGGTCCCTTCCAACCTAGAAGATTCTGTGATTCTGTGATTCTAACCATCCTGGAAGTGACCCAGGGTTAGCAGCAATGAAATGATTTCTTGAAACTTAACATACAGCCCACTGCACCACAGAAACATCATATATACTTAATTTTAACACTTTGGGGTGCTCAGAACACTAGTTAACAAGTTAACAGCTGCTGGCTGGGGCTGTCCATCCTTAAACTACAGCTCTCCTTGGAATATCCAACCCCTTCACAGGCACCAACACAAGCAGAAGGCAACACGGCTTTCAGCGTCCCAACCAGAAGGAAGCAGTACAGAGCAGGCTGCACTTGACCTATACAAGTCCTACCCATCTACCAGCCAACGTGTTGTCTGTCTCAGGCAGCACACGTGTATCCTGATGAAGACCACATTATCCGTAACTTCAGCAGAGCAATACCTTAAAAGTATGAGTACTACTGACTTACCAAAATTTAGGTCTACCTTCATCCCACTTAACTTCTGGACACTAATTAAAGCAAAGTCATAATTTTCTAATTTATATAAAAAACTATTATAAATAATTGTGCATCAAAACAATTCATAATTATATATACAGTTTGTATATAAGTTATTACAAATTCACAAAGTTCAAGTACTCAGGACAGGGAAAGACAGGCTACAGAAGGAGAAAATTATATATACTTAATTTTAACACTCTGGGGTGCTCAGAACACTAGTTAACAAGTTTTGACTACTTTAAAGTAACATAACACTTTGCTTTTAAAATGCATTACTATTAAAACAGGAAAACCCTCGTCTGTAGTAAACATGAGGTTGGTGAATTTCACCTCTAAACCCTAAGATAAAGCAGACTTTAGAGATACAAACACACATTCAAACTTCTTAAACAGCCAATTGTCTTTTCAGATGTTTTATCAACATATAAAACTGTAGAATAATGCAGTCATCTTCTACTCTTATTTGGCAAAGATGAGATTTTTCAGCAGAACAGGCACAGCTGAATTTTACAGCTCCAAGAATGAGTTTTGGCTCATTGCAGAACCGGAGATGCACAGCATCATGTGCTGCTGGCTGGGGCTGTTCATCCTTAAACTACAGCTCTCCTTGGTATATCCAACCCCTTCACAGGCACCAACACAAGCAGAAGGCAACACGGCTTTCAGCGTCCCAACCAGAAGGAAGCAGTACAGAGCAGGCTGCACTTGACCTATACAAGTCCTACCCATCTACCAGCCAATGTGTTGTCTGTCTCAGGCAGCACACGTGTATCCTGATGAAGACCACATTATCCATAACTTTAGCAGAGCAATACCTTAAAAGAATAAGTACTACTGACTTACCAAAATTTAGGTCTACCTTCATCCCACTTAATTTCTGGACACTAATTAAAGCAAAGTCATAATTCTCTAATTTATATAGAAACTATTATAAATAATTGTGCATCAAAACAATTCATAATTATATATACAGTTTGTATATAAGTTATTACAAATTCACAAAGTTCAAGTACTCAGGACAGGGAAAGACAGGCTACAGAAGGAGAAAATTTATGGCAGGATCAATTGTAACAGTGCAGTTCCCAGTGAAAACAAACAAAAAAATCCACACAGCATCTGTCACTGATTTTCTTGTTTGCCACTATATGAAGTTTTTCAATTTACCATAGAGAAGTTGCCCCTAAAATCTGAAACACTGAAAATGCATGCTTTTAAAAGCTGCAGTTCACTCTGAGTAAACAAATTCATAACAGAAGTTAACTAAAAGTTTGAGTGGAAATACGTATCACTGTTGTTGCTCCATGCTATTCATTTATATCATAAACTGCTTGTGTAGCAAGTGTAATTTTTTAAATTTCCTTTCTGTATTAGTGATTTGCAAAATTTGACAGAATTTTTTAAAAAAGCTGTTCTAAAAATATAAAGTTATTTTAATTCCTTCTCTAATCTTTTCCTCTTCTTTTAATATATACTATTGCAATTTATTCTGTGCAAAGCTTTAAGGTTGCTGAACTCAGTGTCCTCATACTTCAGACTTGTTGGAGTGAGCTCTCTACATAAAGAATGAGAGACAGTGGTACGCAGTTTCAACATTACTTGTCCTAGCCTTATTTTCTTCTATTAAAATAAAACCAAAATATTTTAGCCCTCTGCTTTTTAGTCCTTAATTTAGATATTTTTCAGATGAATACTGTTTTCCTCAAGGGTGGGTTCAGTCCCTTTGATTTTGACAGATTTTTTTTAATGAGGTTCATCTCGTAAATTTGCAGCTTATGTAACTTTTGCAACAAAAGGAGTTCTAACACTCAAAATTACATTTCATGTAATGCACCGGAATAATCCACACAAAATTGCTTATGTCCCCTAGCTGCTTGTCTGGCACATACTAGAGTATTTCCTGTCCTAGGAAATATAATAGATTTACATCCAACCTCTCAGTCAGTCATATGGCCAGATCAGAAAGCGTGAAGGCCTAAGTGCTGACTCCTGGGTGACCTTCTCCAGGGCTTCAAAAAGTTCAAAGCAGCATTTCCTTAAACCACTTGAACCAAAGTCCTTCTTCCTCCCTATGATACACTAACCTTTCACACTGTACTCTCTGCTGGAGAGATGAGAACAACCACTACACAGTGAAAGCCCGCATTTACTGGCCTTCTGATAATCATTGAGCTGTAGGGCCTCACTGAAATGGATTTTCAACTGTCTTTCTCAAAGCTTCACCTACAACTTGACTCCAGCAATATAACCAATCACTGTGTCAAATCAAGGAAATGAGTTATTTCTTTCCACCTCACCTAGTAGGGAAATTTGAGCCGGGCAGCCTAGTGTCAACCACTTTCTTACAACCTAAACATATCCGAATCTATCAAAAGACTGAAGAAAAATCTGCTGCCGCTACTCACGTCAGATTTCCATTTCAGATCAATCTGTAGACATGCAGTTAATCATATTTTTGCTATGTCATAAAGATGCAAACATGGAGTTTCAGAACTGCAATTAAGATACAAAAAAACCCCAAACCAATAGCAAACAATTTTAAAAGCTCCGAGGAACCTAAAACTCAAGTTAAAATTTGAAGCCTACACAGTAATAGAAGCCATTGACTACTTTACACTGTTAATGTACCACAAAATGTCTGCCTACTTATCACAGCAGAGGCAAAAGAGTTTAATATTATTTGTGCATTTTGAGGATTTTGCTCGTTTTACTAGGTCCTGAAATACCTCAAAGTGTCACATGTAACTTACCATGGCTAATTACAACACAAAGACTTCAATTAGTAAGAAGATACAATAATATTTGTGTTTTCTCAATGACAGAAAGAATACAATGCAAGAAAGTGACAAGTTGCACCGGACCTCAGCTGATCATCAAAACAGAGCACTGGATGCATCCCACCCTCGCAGTGTCCACATCCTGCATGCAGACACACAGGGCACCGCACTGTACACAAGGCACTGGTCACCTGGCTCGAGTATCTTTCTTCAGAAGGAACTGGTGAGAATTTAAAATACTGGTTTTATATCTCCACATCTTCAATTAAAACTTATTCAATATACAGCCCTCTTTAACCCAAAATACTGCATTTAAATACTAGTGAGATTTGTGCATCTCTTCAATTGAAACTTCAAAACTGACTAACAAAAGCGCAGCTTTTTTGGCAGTACATGCAGTGTCAGACACCCAGGCTATGACAGTTTATGCTGGGTGAGGGACACTCTGCATACTCTGCATGTTAGACTACTGGTCATACAAAATTTAAAACTAAGTAATGGAAAACAACTTTCCTTTCTCCCTTCTAATCAGCCATTATTGTAAGCCAGTACCAAGGATCTCATAAAGCAACCAAAAATCACAGTTGTCTTTTCTCTTTCTAGTGTGAACAGCATACTTCGTCCTTTTTTTTTTTTTCCTAGAGGTTGAACCATAAAAATCAGAGTAACAGTTTCTTTCATAACAGAAAGCAGAAAACTAATTTATCCTGGGTGTGCTGTTCCACAAAAGAAGCCTGCGGCCATCGTTAAGAGGTGGACACAATTTGTTTCAGCTGGCACCATGGCATAACATCTTAACATTTTGTCACTTACCCATGAATCCCAGTAACAAGGAAGATAAGGTTGCCATTGATCTTGGTGCAGTTTATGAACTTGTCAATGTTGCTGGAATCCACCGTCTGAGCTGACACTAAACTCCCTGTTCCAATGCCATCACATGCTGCCAAAACAAGGAGTCTGTGTTAAGAACTAGGAAAAACAATTACTGAATCAGACTATCTTGGCCTTCTAGACACAAGTCTTCATTTCTTTCTGAGATAAAGCAGCAGAGAGGTGTTAAAACGGCACCCCTTACCCATATTCCCAAAGAGCACAGGCCAATTTAAAACAAGCAATAAGCTAAAGTACCTGCCACAGAAGGATATCCTGGCACACAGGTATTTTACAGGGGATCTAGAGACAAGTATGAAGCACACGATATCCCACTCAAGTCTAGCTGTTAGCTCAGACTAACCCCATGGCCCTGCCATTTATTTGTGCACTACTCACTGCAGAAACTGAGGTGTCCTAACACTGCTAGCTCACGAGGTTCCCTTTGCTCGGTGGATTTGTGAACTTAGCCATCCACATGCCATAAGGTCCTTTAGAAAGTGAGTACAAGTAATTCTTTATTAATAATCACAGCAACTAAGTTACTGGGGCCTGGAGAAACTTTCACACCCAATGAGAAAAATTCTTTGTGTAGCGTTTCTATGTAATTTAGTTGCATTTTCTGGGGCACATGATGCATCCAGGAAGAAATCCTTCATGACTTCCATGCCCTAATGTGTCCTATCTCCCTAACTAGGCTGCTCTATTGGCACTACCAGCAGTACACCTGAACCTTTTACAAGCGTGGTAACTTTCCTCCTCACAGAGTAAGGCTAAGAGCTTGACAAAAGCACTACACATGTATTTTCCTGCATAAAACAATCTCTCCAGAAAAAAAAGATTGTTTACTGCAATTATTAGGTTAAAGGGCTGGACACTGCCTTCACTTAGAATCCAACGTGTCAGTATCCTGCCTTGGCAGAGATCTCTGTGTTGGACTGTTTCAGCCATGTGGAGTGACTGTTGCTTTACAGAGTCTTTCAGCAGCTTCATTGTGAATCCCCTTCCAGATGTGGCTTCCACTAGGGCTGAAAGGTGGCACAGACTCGGATGGGAAAACTGATCCTGCTTTCCTCCTGAGACCTTCAAGCAGGGAGCAGAAAGTCTCCCTAGTGGAGCTTGGGACAGCAAAGTAATCTATAGATTTCAGTCTTCTCAACAGCACTGTCACTGAAAAACTTCTAGTCTATATTTTAGACACTCAGAAAGAAGGTGGAAGATTCTGGGAAAAGACATTTTTGAAAAACAGGAAATAAATGGAAACCTAACATTGTATTGACAAGTATGAGGCATACCATACATTGAAGCCAGGGCTTTAATGTGGCCTCCTAGGCAATGATAAAAGGACAGCTCTAGAACACCTTCAGGAAATACCTATCATTAAAATAAGGTAATAAAGAATTCTTTCAGATTTCTCTAAAACTAACAGAGAAATCCCTTTCATTTTTATCTAATCAGAAGTAATTGGCTTGGTTGTATTACCATTACAACTTAATAAATTTTCGTTTTACTGTGTATACTTTACACACAGCCTACAAAGCTCAAAGTTCTGTGGGTATCCTAAGGCTATCGATATTCCACAACACACTCATGAATAACACCCCGCTCTGCTCTACTGCAGCACAGACTACATCCAAGAACAGTGATGCTAAACTCCTGCCTACCTTTAGGACAGATGTCAGTGCAGGGCTTGCACATCTTAATACCATTTTCTTCAACCTCCATCTTGGAGCTCGGACACGCACGGACACAAGAGCTGGAATCTACCACAAAGTTGTCTGAAGAGAAAAAGCAGATATTGGCAGAAAGCAAACCACTGAGGTAAGTAATACACATGGTTTTGGATGCTATGTCAATACATGTTATTAATTACCACATTAATTACCACAATTAATTAATAATTCCACATTGACATTAACATTTTATGTTCAGTGCTTTCAGAAGTGTATAAGCAAATTAGGCATGTTTTTTGAGACTTATGAAAATCCATGAATTGTCAGGTCTGATCTGCCTCCTCTCCCAATTTGGTTTTATTATTAATCATAGCAAAAAAAGCTGCAGTAATTGAAGAAAAATAAAACAAGATGCTCTGCCCATCTCTTTCATGCGCATTCAAATATATACATCTGGGATAAAACATCACACAAGACAACGACAAGTATTTCAATTTTGCCTTGTAAAACAACTGCCAAAGGGGATATAGACTGATCCTACCTAATTGAAAGCTTAATGCTGCCAGGAAAAAAAAAAAACAAAGGAAAAAATATTCAATGAAGTATTTGGACAAAGAATCATATGCCTTAAGTAATGCATGTTATACCAGTTCTGTGTTAAAAAAAAAAGAAAAATAAAAATCTTGCTTCAAAAAACCCACCACTCTATTACAGACAGAACTAAACCTTGACAGTCCCAGCCTCAGCCTACTGTCAATCTGAAGTTCTCCACAGAGATTCAAAATCTGGATTTTGGTTTGGGCTGAACTGTATTTCCATTTATTATAGGTTACCCATCCTTCTTATATGCAATTTATGGATAAAATAATTAATGCACAACTGTAAACCTTGGTGGGAATGAAAGGGAGAGCAAGAATACCGTCTCACTTATTTTTCTTTCTAACTAAAACAGCAGTATCAAAGACTAACTATGTAAGTGATGATCCTCTCATTTTTTCTGTTACTTGCCATCATCTGTCTGGTATCTCAAAAGCATGTGTTTTTTACATGCATGAGATTACTCTTTTTTTAACTTCCTCTTCCCCTCTAATTTTAATCTGGAGTTTTAAGACTCTGTTGCTGTCAGTATTGCATGGGTTTTCCTCACTGGCCAGAACTGCTAGGAAAATAGTTACAGTAACTTTCTGTCAAACCATCATTACTCCAAGAAAAGGGCACTGATATCATAAAAGCATTTGGTGCCAACTAGTGCTGGTGGTGGACTGTTATTTTTCTGAAACAGAAATTTACATCCATTTACAATCCCCCTTTAACAGTTCATTTTGAAATTTACAAATGCTGATCTAAAGCATGAATGTAACCTGTGGTGGTCAGGTGATGAAAACAACAACCTAGTGAATTTCCTTCCTTTAAAAAAAATCGCTAAAGGATAAGGATACTTGGGAAGTTTCACTGCCTTTAGTTAACACACGACTGAGTTATTACAGGCTGCAAGGACACGTGGAGTGATTTGAGATAGCACACTATACACTTAGCTCTCATTCTCTCATTGTTTTCTAAGGTCCCTAAAATGCAACTCAAACTTTCCATCGCTGCAGGAAAAGACAGCTAAAGCAGCACTTACGTGGGCACTTTTTGACACAAAAAGCCCCATAGGTGTATTTGGCATTGTGATTATGCTCCAGCTGGAAGGTGGTAGGATTGTATACAAAAGTCTGGGGGCACTGCGTGACACAGGCACCACTATCGTTGAAATTCATACAGGCCTGCAAAACAAGGGAGAAAAAAAAAAAAGTTATTCAGCTGCTTTGGCGTGGTTGGGTGGGTTTTTTTTTTAGTTTAAAACACAGTCTTAGCTGTTCCAATGCATTGCAACAGTGAGGAATGTGATACACAGTTTTCTAACCTTCACTCTGGCTACTTAGATTTCTTGCTAGAATCTTAGCAAATACATGACATAAAAGGGAGCCCAAAGAACCCGCTTAATTTGAAACAGTTGACTGTTACAGCACTTCCTACAAAAACATAACAACACTGTAATTTGTTTCATAACTACTGTTACTACTAGCAATCAACTAATTCACCACTTGATAGGACATTCTAAAACTGCCAAGAGTGAACCAGCTATTTATCATAGTCAGTCTAAACAAATGCTAATGACTTTTTCAGAGGTTCAACCTCTAGATTTCTTTCAGCATGAGTCCATCGTCCAGCTCAAAACTGAAATTCCCAATTAGAAAGCAAGAGGGATAAGAGCTTCTTTGAGCTAGCACAGGAGGGGGTCATTTCCCTAAGTGGCAAGTTTAACAAGGTCAGTTGCTTCACACACTGAGGAAAGAAAATAAGACTTTGTATCACTTAGCATTCAAGCTCAGCCACCCACAGCTGACAGACGACAGGGCCCTGACAAATGAAGAGGCAAGTGTGTGGATACAGAGAGTAATGGTATGCAGGAAAAATAATTGACCATGCAAGGTTGATAATTAGTAACAGAAAAACACCACCAATTTTGACAATCCTTATGACCACATATCATGACTACGGTTTTAACCACTGCTTGTAAAAAATTGTTGGGAGTAATATTCACAAAGCGTACCATACATGTTACATTTCATATGAATATGAAAGCTGTAGCTTGGCTTGGATTTCTCCAGCAGTTTAAGCAACCACTGCTACCGGATTCTGCTTCCCCACTAACCTGCTTCCAGAAGCCAGGCTGCTTTACAAGTTTAATCTAGGGATAAATCCTTCTGGTCCTTTTCCAGATTATAAAAAATACAGATGGCTTCAGATCTTTAAACAGTCACCAAATATACCATTGTGTGTACCACATTCCCTCCCCTCCTGGGCCAGAAATGAGAGAAAAGTGAAAAAGATTCCTTTGTTCTGTTGCTTTCACTAACAGTTCTTATCTCCATTCAGATCAGGAACAGCACTGAGGGAGGTCACTTGTCCCATCAGAAGATTTCAGAGGGGAGAGGCCAATAACACAACCAAGGAAGAAGGGCAAAATCTGCTGCTGAAAGGGACAACGAGGGTGTTACATGATGAAGGCAGTGCCCTATTGTGCTACAGGGAGCGTGAGCTTCCATAATCCTCAGAGGCTTGCAGGTAAACCAAGCTGATCCTGTGTTTCCTGGTTCTTCAAAATGCATATTACAAAAACTGTCAGTTTCTCATTGAACCAAGATTTGGTTTGTTTGTTTTTTGAAAAAAAGAGATAAATACAGTCGGTTACCTCCTTACTAAGAACTGGCTGGGAAGCCCACCTGATGAACAAGGTTGTGGCACTTTTCTGGTTCCGATGTGCACTCAACCAGGCCCTGCTACACATTTCAAGTTTCAGATCCAGTTTGGTTTTGAATGCAAGATAAGAACATCTTCTAAACTTTGTTTTATCATCTTTGCTTGCAGTTTTGTCAGATGATGATTATTGCCTTGCTTTTAGAACTGAATATGCAAATGAGTATACGGCAGCATATGGAGGAGGGTGGATGAATTTTATCTAGAAATATTAAAACCATATTTACAACAGGATGCTGTTGCAAGCTGCTATAATACACTAAAGGATTTGTAATGCTTCAGAAACGGTACTTCTGCTTATTAATAAATAATAATTTAGCTGTTTCCACAATGCATTTTTTTACATCCACTGTTGACTTAAAAGGTACTCTAATGTACACGACAATCCTCTGCCAATGGTTAACTAAACTGGCAAGGTAAAGCACACTGTTACTCTTCAGAGAGATGGCAATTCTCAGGAAAAGCCCACCTAGAAGATTTGGGAACTTCGAAGTTAGGACTACAATGTTGTGTATCACTTGCAATTGCTTCAGTAATACATGCAAACTTGTAGCATTTGGTGCTAAATGCTGCTAATTTGTGAATGAAAGCACAGGAACACACACAGGGAAAAAATAAAGTTGTATCTCAGCTGAAAGCTAAGCTCTGTTTTCCATAGCCTAAAGGATTACACTTTTCACCCAGTGTGTACTAAGCAAGTAATGACTTGCCCTGAAAACTGCCAGATCCCTGCTGAATTTCTTTTACACTGCTCTCGGGCCAGGAGTGAATGAGAATAAAGCCCTGGGTGCTTCTCTGCTGGATCAAAACAAAAACACTAGTTGATTTTTTAGCATACATATTTCCATAACGGCAAGAGTTCAGAAACTCATTTTCTTTAAGGCTGCAATATTACAGAATTTATGCTGCAAATAACTCCTCCTTAACCTTTGGACACCCAAGATGTGGGTTCAACACATCAGTTTTGAGGATGTTCCTCAACAGTCATATGGGAAGATCAACTGCATTTTTCCTCTTTCCTTTACCCATTTAGATTGTGCGTGACAGGGGAATGGATGTTATTTTCCCATCTCTCCAGTCCAAAGCCACTGCAGAACACAGTGGGCACTGGATCGGGTGTACCACGTGTTGAGCATGCAAAGCCCCAGCCACAAAGAATGGTTTTTAGTAAAACCTTTCAGCTGTTAAATCAGGCCATCACTGCATTTCATCAGCAGTGAAAGTACAGCATTTAGAATGCGTTTTTGAAGCACAACACCTACCACTATCAACTGATACCCTGAACAATGAGAAAGTTTCAGGTTCAGCCAGGGAAAGATTCATTTTTGCTGGTTCATTATAACCCATTTGCCTACAATATCAAAACATCTACAATCGTCCATGCCATAAGATACCGCCTCCTAGTCCTATGTGGCAGATTTTAAAAGGAGCCTATCCAACTCTGTAGATACCTGTCTCTTCAGTCACTGGGGTACCTTTGAAAACCCACCTCTCTGTGCATGTTCTAATTCTAGGTTTCTTTAGGCCTAGGTTTGCTTCCCCAGAAAACATTAGCAAAACTTGTCTCTGCAAACCGGTGTGATGAGCTACACATTTCTTGAGATCAGTGTTGGGTTCTGAAGCTATTTACACCATGATTATAAATAGCAGACTGTAAACGACTGTAGACAAATTTGTCTAAAGGCCTGTATGTTCAGATTATCTTTTATTTTATTTTTTTAAGGAAAAAGTTAGCCTTTTCCTCTTTTCATTTTAAGCACACAGTAGCATCCATTTGAGGTAGTGTATTTTGGAAACCTCTTTCCTTCCATCTCCACTAAGAAGCGTGGCCAGTAAAAAAGCTGAGTTTAAATCAAGCCTGGCTGTAAAAGGGAACACCTTTCAGAGAGAAGCTAAATAGCATTCTTGACTTTCAAATAATAAGCACACAGAGCAGTAATAAAAGCCATGCTCAAATGCAATGATAAATTCTTCTAAAAATTCCCTATCACCTCTAAAAGTTAATTTTAGAAAAGCAAAAGATAAAAATCACAGAGATTAGCATATTAATAGTTCCCAATCTGTATTTACAAATCTCATAAATCTGTTAATGGGTGATATTAAGTAGATAAGTGATGTTAATATAATGTGAGAAATATTAGATGTTAAAAATTACAGTCTAAATCTGGGAGTGTGCACGCAATACATTAAAAGGGACAAAATTGTGAATTTCATGGATTAAAGCATTAAGAATTTGCAGCGTGGCTGCTAGGAACTTAGAAAAGGAGGAATCTCACACATACAAAGCAATCGGTGTCTTTAGGTCCAGAACAGCCCCCAGCGCATTCCCGGTGGCAGCAGTCGCTGACGTAGGGCCCGTAGCACCGTCCATCACACTGCTCCGCACACACCGTCTTCGTCACTAGGAGAAGGCAGGGAAAATCACCACGTCAGAACCACAACTAAAGAGGGAGCTCTTCAACTGCACACTGAGGGAAACAATAAACTAAAGACCACACTGAAAAAGCCCACAAGTTTTAAGGTAATTGCTTCAATGGTACTGGTCACTTATATCCTCGGCAGGGTACCCTCATAATAGTCTCTTTAGGAACACATATGTTGCTCAGGGACTGCAGAGGGAGAATTTTTAAAGTCTCATTTCTTACTCTTGGAACTTCAGGTGGAATATTATTTTCAAATTACTAGTTTATTTAAAGAGCCGATAGAAGGATATGAAAAAAAAAAACCATAAGATAACAGAAGAGCCCACCAGTCCTGTGTGTTTTCCCCCATGAAGAACACCGAGTAAATGAGTGAAATTCAGAGTTCAGCCAGCAATCTCAGAACCAAACGATCTTCTTGATGGCAAACAATTTGACAAATTGGCAATGAGGTAACAGAAGAGAATACAACCTGCAGACTGGAACACATTGGAAACACCACTGCGTTTTCTAAGTAACACAATCCAGCCTTCATTCACAAGGGAACATTTTCCCAACTGGAAAGCACAGGGATTTAAGTGGTACCACACTACTGTATCTCAGCACTTAGTCTTGTCCAAAGAACGGTCAAGAAGTGAAGCCTCACTTGTTGGTCAACAAGTGGAGCCTCACTCCTCCCCTCACTCAACTATAGCTTCTATCTTTATTTTATGGGAAAAGAAAATTAATATTATCCGCAGCACTATACCATCCACTGCCTACAGACTGCCAGGAAGCAGTGCTGTCAGCTGGCTTTTGATAAAAGCAGGAATGTTACGTTTCTGTAATTAACCTTTAGCATTTATTTTGTTAAAAGCTTTTAATTGCTTCTCTCTGGAAAACACTTCTCAAGAAGCCGGAGAACACAAAATTCCACCTAACTTTCTGCTCAATCCTACTATTTAATGTATAGCTACCTCCTTTATAAGTACTCTGTAATCCAAATTCCCTCCACTACTTCTGGAAATATTTAAGGTAATGTCAAAGCTTTTTGATATACAAAACATTTATTTAGGACATGAAAATGTAACTAACCAAAGAGAAGTCATCACTTATAATCAACAGAATAAAGTGATGCACATTTAGAGTAATTCCATCTTGCTGATACCAGAGGCAAACCCCCAAACAAAAAGCGCTTTTGTGCCTTATGCAATCTGATTTAAGAAATAAGGGAAATTTCTGTACATGCATTTGCTGTTAACACTGCTAGGGAAACAGATTACAAGGATTTGTTTATTTAAGTATCGGTATTGATAAACATTAGGACAGAGATAGGAAACAGTGGCATACGCTAAGCAAAACACACCTGTCACAGTACGCCACCACCACACCATTAGCTGATAAGCAATGAGGCTCATCTCAGGAAAACGAACAAGGACCTCATTTAGTCAGTGAATGCATATTGGTTTTATGCCATTTCAGAAACTGGTCCATAGTGCCTCGATTTGCACTGGAACGGGCACTTTCTGCTTTGATCTCAAAGGGAGACGAAGTCCCGACTTATCCTGACTTGATGGAGCACCCTATTTACCAGAGGCTCCCCCTCTGCCATCAGTGGAGAGACACAGAAGCAGAGGATATTCATTCCATTCCGCCCCATAACCCAAATTCTCTGTGTTTACCCGTGTCACTCCTCAGAGAAAGACCTGGCCCCTAAGCCCAGGGGGCACCACCCAAACACTCTTCCCTCCCTTTCACACAGCAACCACTCGTGACCTCGCTTACCTTACTTTTTAAAATGCCCTCTCCTTTGCCACAACTTTCTGCTCCTCTGGCTGTTGTTACAGCTGTGGGCAGCAGGACGAGCTCGGAAGCCATGCACCACAACAGCCCTCACACCGCTCGCATGAGGACACTAAAATGGCCGCCGTCTGCCCCGCCCCGCCCTCCCAGCATGCTCAGCGCCCCCTTCCAGAAGGTTCTGCGGGCAGCGGGCAGGTTCCCCTCACGAGCGCCACCCAACCTGCCACAGGCTCAAAAATTAACTAGCACTATATTTCCTTTTTTTTTTTTTTTTTTTTTTTTTGCAAGGAGTTTTTGGGAGCACTGAAATCAGCTAAGCAAATGATACTGATCTCAGTGCCTATTA